CGATGGATGATTCTCTCCAAAAATTGTTGGGTTGGGGCTGTCTGAGCTCATCTCTGCCTCTGACCCGCACCCGCATAAAAATCCCACCGTACCCTGTCTCATTGTACCCATCCTTTCCCACAGCCACAGCCCTGGCTTCAGGTCCGAAAAGAGCCCCTTCTTCTGGGCGCGAGGAAAGGTGTTTTAAAGAAATGGCTTAGGAAAGAAACCTGGAGGGCACTTACACAGATATTCAAAAGCCTCTCAGAAGAAGCCTTTAGTTCTATGATGATTCTCTTCAGGTCACTTCCACCAGGGATGGGAGCCGTGTGGACGGACAGCAAGGTTCCCATACAGCAGAGCAGAAGCAGGGCACCCCCGGTGGGTCCTGAGGAGAGAATGCTGCAGTGAAGCCCCCAGCCAGGCGCCCCCTGCCCACCCAGCTTCTCTCCCCCGAGCCACACTCCAGCCACCACGGGGTAAGGCCCTCCGGAGTCTTTCAGTCCATCTCATGGTACCTGTGTGGGAGGCCATGGTGAGAGGGAGCGGAGCCTGCTTCAGCAACAGCCGCTTGAGCCAGATGTGTTCGCCATGGCCTCCAGGTGATATATAAAGGGCCCGCCGTGAGGAAGGACGATCGATGTTCCGCCCATGGCAAGATTATTGCTCAGCTTTTCTCCAGAAAACACTTTCAAAATTTTGCCGCCCAAGGCTGAGTGAAAGCAGGGCTGGAAGGAAATGCTGAGGTTACCCTCAAGGTGGGCAGATGCCTGACTCAGTGCAGGCACACACAGGAAGGCACACGCATCTTTGCCACGTCTTCTTGGAAAGAGCCGGTAGATCTGACCAGAAGAAATTTTGAAGCCCAGGGTTGACAGGCACAACCACCAAGAAACATGATGTTGCAGGAGATGCTGGTCAGTGCCCCACAGGGAATTTCTGGGGAGGGTCCCAGCTGAGCGCGTGTGGGTGGAGAGGGAACATGCTTGCAAAGTGCGTTATCTTTGTAGATTTCTGAAGCATGCCCCTGCCAGCACGCAGGTACAGCCCTGATAACCACTGTGACTGCGGCATGTCAAAGACCGTATCTCACCTCTGCGTGGTCTTGAACATCATTGGACTTTGCAAGTGCAGGACCAGGAACCGGAATCCGTGCTCGGGAGTCATTTGTTGAAATCACTTATGCGTAGTTTGAGTGCCACCTTCGACCAGGCGCTCTTCTAGCACAGAAGTTCAACAAGGTCCCTGCCCTCGCAGAGCTGGCATTCTCCTGGGCAAGGGGCACAATGTTAATAAGAAAACATCAGGTCATAAGAACTATAAAAATCAAGGTGTTGGGATAGAGAATGACAGGTGACCAGGAAAAGTCTCTGAGCCGAAACCTGAAAGATGAGAAGGACCTGTTGTGGGAAGACCTGAGGAAGCCGTGCTGGCAGAGGGAGCCCTCGCATGCAAGTCCTCGGGCAGAAATGAGCTTGCTGTGACTAAGGACAGGAAGCAGCTCGTGGCAGCTGGAACAAAGCGAGAGAAGAGGAGGGTGGTGGGAAGGGGGGCAGAGGGCAAGGCACAGGGGTCTTATGAGGATAAAGAAGTTGGGTTTCATTCCAGGTGTGATGCACCATTGAATGGCTGTAGGTAGGGAAATACAGGGTCTGGCTTACTTTAAGAAAAAAGAGAGGCTGCTGAGTGGAGAATGGGTCTTCGGGGATCCGGTGTGGAAGCAGAGAGACCAATTAGGAGGGTCAGCAGCCGGGCAGGTGAGAGATGAGGGCGGCTTGGCCCAGGATAGAGTGGATGGAGATGGAGTCTACAGAACCAGCCAATGGAATAATGTGGAGAGGAATCAAAGACAGGAATCAAGGATGACTCTGTGAATTTTTTTTTAAATATATATTTTATTGATTTTTTACAGAGAGGAAGGGAGAGAGATAGAGAGTCAGAAACATCGATGAGAGAGAAACATCGATCAGCTGCCTCCTGCACACCTCCCACTGGGGATGCGCCCGCAACCCAGGCACATGCCCTTGACCGGAATCGAACCTGGGACCTTTCAGTCCGCAGGCTGACGCTCTATCCACTGAGCCAAACCGGTTTCGGCGACTCTGTGAATTTTGATAAAGCAATCAGGTGGTTATGTGCAGTGAGGGAAAAGAAGACTGGAGAGGGGAAACCAAGAGTTCTATTTGGAATGAGTCAAGTTTGAGATGCACAATGAGAATCTATTCAATGTCTAGTCAGCGGTTGGATTGGAGTCAAGAGCGCAGAACTGAGGTCAAGCCAGGGCAGGCCATAGAACTGAAGATGCACAACGAAGAGACGGCTACAAACCCCCTTTCACCTTAATCCCAAGTCTCCTTCCAACTGCGACTGTCTCTTTCCTCTCCTTATCCAAGCTTCTTGACAGAGCAATCTATGCTCACTTTTACCTCACTTCACAAACTGTCACAATATGGTTCTCACCCCAAGAATTTATTTAAAATCCTCTAGCAAAGTCCATGGTAAGCAGAATTTTGCCCCTGTGACTTTCACCCTCTGGTATTTACTCTCATAATTATGTTACATTACATGGCAGAAAGACTCTGCAGATGTAATTACAGTTACTAATCAGTTTATCTTAAGCTAGATGATTACCAAGTGGATCCATTGTAGTCACAGGAGCCCTTAAAAACAAAGAGGAAGTCAGAAGAGAAAGTCAGAGAGACTCAAAGCATGAGAAAGATTCAACTGCCATTGCTGGCTTGAAAATGGAGGGAGCCAAGTGGAAAGCATGAGAAGAAAATGAATTTGGACAATGACTAGTGAGTGTGGAAGACGACCCTGGGCTGTAGCTGAGAACCACAGCTTCAGGTGATAACTTCAGTTTAGCCTGATACGATGCTGAGCAGGGAGCCCAGTTACACCGCCTGGACTTCTGACCCACAGAACCTGTGAGGCAGTAACTTTGTGGTTTTAAGCTGCTAAGTGACCACATTTCCTACAGCAGCAACAAAGAGCCAATAGTTGCCCTGGCTGGTGTGGCTCAGTTGGTTGAGCATCATTCCATGCAGTGAAGGGTTGCAGGTTTGATTCCTGATCAGGGCACATGCCTGGGTTGCCTGCTTGATCCTAGGTGGAGGGCGTTGCAGGGGGCAGCCTATCAATATTTTGCTCACATCAATGTTTCTCTCTCTCCCTTCCTCTCTCTCTCTCTCTCTCTCTCAAAATATTTTTAAAAATCTTTTTTAAATGCCCAGCTGGCATGGCTCGGTGGTTGAGTATTGATCTGTGAACCAGGAGGTCACAGTTTGATGCAAGGTTGTGGGCTGGATCCTCAGTGTGGGGCGTGCAGGAGGCAGCCAATCAATGATTCTCTCCCATCATTGAGGTTTCTATCTCTGTCTCCCTTCCTCTCTGAAGTCAATAAAAATATATTTTAAAATCTTAAGAAAAAACACACAAGTGTAAGCCTGTAAGATATAAGTCAGGTGTGGAGCCCAGGGGTGCACCTCCATCAGCAGAACAGGGAGAGGAAGGTGACTTAGCCCTGAATACGGAGAAGGTGCTCTAGAGAGAAAGAGACGTAGAGCAGCATGTTGTCATGGAACAACATGAAAGCGGTTTTCAAGAAGGAGGAAGTGATCAGCCCCAGCATAAACTACGGAGAGGTTCGTTAAGATAAAGGCTGAGGAGAGTCTCGATGCGGGGGAACATGAGGTCACTGGGAAGTTTGAACACACTGTTGGGGGTGGAAGCCGTATGGTGGTGGTTTGAGAAGTGAGAAAAAAGTGAAACTACCCAGTTGCTTCATCAAAATCCTGGGAGTTAACCTTGATTCCTCTCTTTGATTAGTTTATATTGCGACAGACTCATGGGTATTTATTTTATTACTTATTTTCCTAGTTTGGGAGAATTTCTCTAACAACAGTAAAGGTGTCCTCCTACAGGCAAGTAGCCACCGCAGCAGGCGGCTACTTTTGGGAAGGATCACAGTCAGGAAATTGGACTTTCCCAACATTAAACATGTTTTGCTCTTTCTAGAGACACCGTTGAGAGAAAGAAAAGACTGGCCTAGAAGAGGAGAAAGTATTTACCAAGCACAAATCCATACCATAGGACTCATCAGTTGCATTCCTAGAGGAATTCCTTCCAAGAAAAATGACAACACGCATTCCCACGAAAACTGCACACGAGTGTTCAGAGCGGCATTACTGGTCAGAGCCAGACAGTGAAAACAGCTCAAAGACCTATCCGCTGATGATGGATAAACAGAACGCGTTCTGCCCCGATCGTGGCACAGTGTCCCACATGTGAAGCGGTTAGGAGAAGTAAATCCACGGGGACAGAAAGCATATTGTGGTTGCCCGGGGCTGCGTAGATGGGAATGGAGGTCGGTTGCCTAATCTGTATGGGATGTCCTTTCAGGGTGAGGGAAATGTTGAAAGTTAGATTAGAATGATAGCTGCACTGTGAATACACTAACACCACAGAACTGCACATTTTAAAGCGACGCGTTCTAGGGTATGTCCATTATATCTCCAAAAACGATGTTGTGTTTCCATATTATAGGAACCAGAGTCATCTTATCCCATGGATTTCACCCTCCTGTGTGACCGGCAGTGGGCTCCATGCACTGAGGATGGAGAGGTAAGAGGTAAGTGGGAGTTACGGAGAGTCACGTTGGAATCCCCTGATGACAATCTTGAGCTTGACCTTGGGCTAATGTCTCCTTTCCGGATCTGTCAAGTGGCATTTTTCTCTGGAGGAGAATCCCTAGCGTAAGGGAAGCGCAGGGCGCGTGCTGGGAGCCGCAGCAGTTACTACCCCAGCGGCGGGGGGACCTGTGCTGTTTTCCTCGGTTCACAGCCGTGAGCACAGGCGAGGTCAGGAGGGAAAACCCTGTTCTCCTGGGGCTGAGCCGGGGCCTCCCGGGGCGAGTCCTGGGATCCCAGAGCGCCTGCGCCACCGCGGCGCCCCGCCGCCCGGAGCACGTGCACGTCCTGGCGGTTGCTTAGCAACCGGCAGGACGCGGGGTCCACGCGGCTATGGAGGAGGGTGGCGGGACCGTGAGCGCTGCGGTGCGGGAGCACCTGCGGCAGTTGTGTCTGCAGGAGTTTCCGTGCGGCGCAGGCAGCTGGGTGCGGGCGCAGGCGGGGCGGCCGGGGGGACCTGGGCGACGGA